CCTGAGTCAGGGGTGCGGAGTACCGGTCCAGATGAGTCTGGGAGAGGACATTGGGCTGGAGGACACTGCGTGCTGTGCTAGGACACCGAGACCACATTCCGACAGCAATGAGAAGCCAGGAGGGACCCTCTGCCCCAGGCCAGGGAAGGTGGGACCCAGAGGGTGGCCAGACTGACCTGGGGTTAGAGCTGCACTGGGTGGGCCCCAAGGAAATGGAGCGAGGGCTTGGGAACCATATGCACTTCCTCTTGCTGCTGTAACAAGCACCACACACTTACCACAAGTTGTTCCCTCACGGTTCTAGAAACCGGGCTGTGTTCCTTCTGGGGACCTTGAGGGGGTCCCCTTTCCCTGCACTTCCACCTTCTCAAGGTCACTGTGTCCTTCTGCTCATGACCCTTCCTGCTGCAGGCATCACACTCCTTCTCCGACGCTGGCCCCTCCATCTTCCCTACAAGCTGCACAGTGGACGGTTACCTCGAAGCCCCGTGGCTGGCCCAGGAAAAGCTCCCACTTCAAGATCCCCAAACCTGACCATTTCTACAAAGTCCCCTTTGCCAGTTAAGGTGAAGGGCTCCCAGGTCCCAGGAGTTCCTGTGTGAACCATTCTGAGGCGGTGGGGATATTACTCTGTCCCTCAACTGGGGAAGGAGCAGACCTGGAGAGCAAGTGGACAGAAGGTGAGGAGCCAGCAGCTTGGAGGGCCACCCACGAGGAGGCTGAGTGATGCAGAGAAGACCGGGGTGGGGGTCAGACTCCGTGCTCAGTGGCTTAGGGTGATCCCACCGCCTGTGAGCCCGTCTGTTGTGCTGCTGTGGCTGGTCATGCTGAAGGGGACGCCGTCGGTCACTGTGGTGGACAGCTTTCAGCAGCGCTTCCAGCCTAAGAGAGGCTTGGAAGAAAGGACTGGAGGTCTATGTCTGAAAACCAGATAGTGAACACCCTATGGGTGACAGCAGGGTGCTGCTGGACGTGGTGCCGGGGGAGGAGGCCCTTGGGACTGAATAGCGTTGTGTTCTGATGAGCTCAGGGATGAGGAGGCCATAAATCAGACATGACACAATCATCAGGAATAACCGGGTGGGTGTCAAGGGTGAGGCTGGACGAGGGGGCAGCCAGGTGCTTCGGACCAGACCCGGGAAACTGGAGGTCAGGCGGTCCTCTGGGAAGGGCTACAGGAGAAGCTTGTTTCCCCGAGGGACTGGCTCTCCCCACCAACCCAGCCAGTGCCTGGGAGGAGGCAGGCAGAGGGTGCTCGGGCCCTGAGCCTGAAGCAGAGCTGGGCAGCCAGGAGCAAGTCACAGAAACCATGGTTCAAGGTCACCCATCAGGGCACTATGTCACCTGGTTTTGGAGAAACTGCTCCTTCCCAGCAAGGGGGAGGGAGAGCCTGGAGTCCTACCCAAGGAGGCAGGAAGAACCCCAGGGCCTCCCTGACTCTTCACTTCCAGTTGATACCCCACATCTGCGGCCCTGCTTCTGGTGTCTGCTTGGAACCACCTCCCCACCCTGAACGTCTGAAAGGACCTGCACAGACCCCAGAGTGTGACGTCTAGACAGCAAGGACCTCAGTTTTTCACCTTTGCCTGCGTGGACTCAGCCATGGCTCTCTGGTGTTTAGTGGGTGCCCGGATGAAGAGCAGCCGCAGGAGGCTTGAGAGAGAGGAAGCCAGGAGCTGGCTGTAGATGGGTGGGGAGAGGGGGAGGAGGGCAGGGAGGAGGGGAAGAAGGAGGCAGACTGGCTGCATTTTCAGCGTTGTGGTAGCTCTCTGTGCCTCAGCTTCCCTGCCCACACTAGGGTGCCCACCGCGTGGCTCTGTGCGTTTACAGCAGTGCCTGACCCGCCGCAGGCACCGCGGAAGCTCCAAGTTAGAGGGGCCAGAGATCTGATGCGACCCAGCAAACAGAAACACTGCTGAGTCAATAAGACCAGAAGTCAACAGAGCTAAGCCCAAGGTCCACATGAGGCAAGAGCCAGAAGCCCTATTGCTCCCCGTGATCTGAGCCCCCCACACCCCCTTGTTCTGAAAAACAAGTCCAACGTCCTGCTGGGTCCCCCAAAGGGCTGAGGCTGGCCACCTGTCCCCCTCCCCTTGCAGCCGGGTGTCTCAGAGAGGATCAAGGGCAGTGTCCTGGGGCTGGGTGGGGTCGTGAGAATGGAGCGCTGACATTGTAAAGCCCTGTGTGAGCGCATGCGTCCCCAGGGACCACCAAGAGGGGGGGAGAGAGCTTAAACGGGCTTATTTTACTACAACCACCATGGCAACACCCCAGGGTGTTAACGACAGCTGGACAGGATTCACTCGCTGCTGACTTAACGGGAGTAGAAAGCCCCATCTTTCTCCCAGGGAGCTGCTGCTGATTTTGAACTTCCAACCATGCGGATTACAGCCCTAACGGCCACCACTATACCACCAGGGCTAGACAGGGCAGTCTCCTACAGTAGTGAGTACATGGCTTTGCCCCAAGGGTCCCGAAGGTTAACTCTGACACCCCGTCCATTCTGGTCATTTTCGTGGGTGGGCAGAGCCTTGGAGCCTGGTTCAGGCCTCCTGCTGACTGTCGTGGCCCTTCCAGCACGGAGCACCTGGGCTCTTCTCTGAGTGTGGGCCCAGGAGGGAAAGAAAACAAGGGAAAGAAAAAAAATGAGTCAAACACTTCCGGTATGCTGCCTAACCAAGCAGAGGACGCAGCCTGGAGGGGCGAGAGTCCGCCTGGGTGTCAAAACTGGGCGGATTGGTCAGAGTGCCCGGAGGAGGCAGCCCAGAGTGCGTGTGCCTCTGGGCTCACGGGAAGGGAGGGGGGGCGGGGAGGAGCAGAGGGGGGGCGGGGAGTCAGAAGAGGAAACTCACCCGGATTCCTCGCAATCTGCCCAGTTCCCGCTGCCCAGGTGCAGGGGGCCCCTCTGCGGCTCAGGTTGCATCTGGCCCTGCACCCCCAATAAGCAACAAGGGCATAGACCCCTGCAGGAAGGATGGGGTCTTCTTGACCACCAGGGCCTGGGTCTGAAGAGGTGCCCCTCATTTGCAAGAGCTGCCCCCCAAGCTGAGGACCAAATGTAGTGGACCCTCTCTCACTGAGACCCACTGGCCCCACCCTGACAGGTGGCCCAGATCCAGGGCTTCTGCCCATGGGCTACAGCAGTCCGGCTGGTGTTGGCTCAAGGCTGGGAGACAAGGTGGCCCTGAATGCTTTCTGGGCAGCACTGTTCATGTGCCCATTTGACAGGTGAGGGAAACTGCGGCATGGGCGGTTAAGTGGCTTCTCTGCAGTCATGCAGGAAAAGAGAGGGTGCAGTTAGCGCCCACACTGTAGCCATTGGCCCCCACTGCCCCCAAAGACGGGAGCTGGTACAAGACACGAGCTGGGAGCTGAGGTTAGGGGAGCAACCGGGGCCGGGGACTGTTTGATTCTAAATAAACTCAAAGCCATCGATCGAGGGGGATCCCGCTCACAGCAAACCCATAGGACAGGGGAGAATTGCCCCCATGGGTTTCCAAGAGTGACTCCCTTTACAGAAGTAAAGGGACCTCATATTTCCTCCCACAGGGCAACTGGTGGTTTTGAACTGCTGACCTTGGGGTTAGCAAGGCAATGCATGACCCACTCCTCCACCAGGGCTCCTGAGTTCCGTCCCAGAACCAAACTCCCTGCCATCAAGTTGATTCTGACTCATCAAAGCCCTACCTGAGGGGGCAGAGTTGTGCCTGTGGGGTCCTGAGGCCACAAATCTGCATGGGAGTAGAAAGTCTCATCTTTCTCCCCAAGAGCCTCGGGCGGTTTAAGCTGCTGACCTTCCAAAGCGCAGCTCACTTTACCACAGCAGGGCTGAAAACCAGGACACTTCTGACCCCTGAACCTCAACCCTTGGTCCACTTGGCCTTTCTCTGGCAAGCCCCACCACCACCACGCCCATCTCCTCCTTGGGGTAGACGGCACCCCAGCCTCAGCTCTCCCACCTCTTCCTGTCCCAAACTAGGGGGCTCCCGTCCCTTGGAAAGGCCCTATTGGCGTGTCCCTGGGGAACGTGCAGAAATAGTTATTTTCTCACTGAAGCGTTGGTGATGCAACTTTACCCAGAGGCACCTGGGAAGAAAGGCCTGGTGACCTACTTGTGTAAACTCAGCCACGGGAAGCCGCGTGGAGGTCAGGTCTGCTCAGTGCACGTGAGTAGCGATGGGCTCGAAGATGACTGGATTGTTTGGGGTGTTGGTGGGTGGGTGGGTTGGTTGGTTGGTTTGGTGGAGGGCCAGGGTCTCCCCAGATTGACCTTATTTCCAACCTGCCCACATGGCTTCCCACGATGCATTTACTCCCGGATGCTGTAAGAGCCACTTCTAAAAGTCGCCGCATGGACTAGGGTCCCCACCCCCCATGGCCCTTGTTTTTTGAGGTACATTACCCTGAAGACCAGCCACTGGGGCCCCTGTGGACTCTGTCCTTGCTCGTTTTTCCAGATCGCCACACCCCTTCTCCTCTGCATGGGCCGCTTAGGGAGGAAGGAGAGTGGGGTTTGAGGAGGAGGAAATAGGAAGGGTCAGGGTCCAGCTGCTAGCCCTGGGCCCCTCACACCCCTGATATTCCTTCATTCCCTTCCTGCCCCACTCCTGCTCCCTGCCACCTCTCCCCTACACTCCTGTCCCAGCCTCCACAGGGATTCTTGTTAGGGTGCCTGCCTTCATCCCTCTACAGTTGCCCAGCGTCCTGCCAGACACCTTGGATGGGATTGGGGGGTGGGGTGGGGATGTCCGTCATCTCTTAACCCTGAGCAGGTGGGGCCCACAGAAGGTGAGCTGGTGGCTTGCCCTGAGCTATAACACCAGCCCCAGCAGGCACTCAGGCTTGCCAGGGCCAGGAAGGGCGGGTCTGGCGTCCACCTGGCTGGCAATAACAGCTTTGTGCAAGGGTGCTTCCTGCCCCTGAGCCTCCGCCCTCCCCGACCCACGGCCTCCTCTGCCACCCGCTCCTCCTTCCTGCGGGCCAGCAGATGACCAGGAGCTCCCGGCAGGCAGCAGCCCTCTGAGCCCTGAGCTGAGGAGAAGGAGGGATTGGACCAACCTGGGAGGTGTGTCACAGCCTCTGAGCAGTCAAGGTACGGGGCGGCACCCGCCAGCTAGTCCCCAGGCCCTCGGGCAAATATGAGGAGAGTGGGACGCCTGCCCAGAACGTGTCGCCCACCCTATGCAAGAGTTGGAGGGAGAGGGGCTCTGGGCTTCGAGACTGCTGTACAGAGAGGAGACTGAAGCCCAGGGAGAGGCAGACTCCTACCCAGGCGGTACTTAGGGCATATCTCAGCGAGGCAGGTGTGAAATCCTGAGGGTCAGCACCTGGTGTGGGGTGGGGAGGCTGACTAAGGAGACAGACCAGGGGCCCTGGGACCAGACAATAGTGACGAGTCCTCTCTGAGTCTCACTTTCCCACTTCTGTAAAGCCAGGGATTCATACCACCTCTCAGGGGTACTGAAGTGCTGAGAGAGAAAATGCCTGACACAGGGTCCAGCTGCCTAGGCGGTTCCCCCATCCCCTAGCCATCCCGAGGACCCTTAACCCCACCAACCACCTGAGACACCACCCCATAGTACCCCAGGCCCCACCCCACAACCACCCCAGACCCCACCCACCATGCATCCCAGGCCGCTCACCCCAAAGCCACCCCAGACCCCAAACTACAGTCACCCCAGACTCTACCCTACAACTGCCTCAGGCCCCCACCCTAAAGCCATCTACAAGCCCCCACCCCACGACCACCCCAAGATACCTCAGAGTCACTTCGAAACCCCACCCGACAGACACCCAAGATCCCCACCCCCACCAGCCACCCTGAAAACCCAAACACACGCTGCCACCCAAGACCTCCACCTAACCTGCCATCCTAAGGCCCTCTCTCTGGCAGCCACCCCAAGCCCCACCTCCACTGCCAGTTGGGGGTCCTCCTGCCCTGGGCTGTGTCAGAGGGGGACAGCTTGACCAGCTCCAGTTAGTCCTCGAAGCTGCCCAGTGAGGTGGGTCCCATCTGGTTCTCACTCGACAGATGGGGAAACTGAGGCACGGGGCGATCCAACCACTAGCTTAGGGCCCCACAGCCAGTGGGGTCACAGCCTGTTTCACAGCTGAGGAAGCCAGCACCGAGGGGCCGAGGGCTGGTCTGAGGCCCCCCACAGCAAGGGCAGTGGAGCTCGGACTCCTCCCCAGTCTGACGCCTTCCCAGAGGACCTCAGAGACACTGGCCTGTGGAGTCCCAAGGAGGAGGCGGGTGGGGGCTGATGGAGCAACGCTGTACTCCACCAGCGTCAGCGCCCGGCTCCGGGTCAGGACAAAGCAGAGCAGGTGCGCCACACGGAGGATATGCACAGCTACGTTAGGTGCCTGCAGAGGCCAGGGAAGGCGGTGGGTGCTCAGCAGGGCGGGTCTGTACAGAGTGAGAAGCGTGCCCAGTGCTACTCTGTCTCAGTAGGATTGCTCAGAGAGGAGGAGACTGTACGGAAGACAGCAGACCCAAGGGAAGGAGTGACGAAGGATACTTTGTATCCATGCCCAGGGCCGTGCGGGAGACTCTGTAACAAGTGGAGAGACACTCAGGAGAATCGAGTGGGGAGGGTGGGTGCTGGATCTGCGGTGGTGGGTCCTGAATTGGTGGGGCACAACCTGTTTGATGCAGGTGGAGGGTGAGCAGATGACTGAAGGAGGGGGGTGGGGAAGAGGGAGGGGTGGCGTTTTGGGCAGAGGGACAGCCAGCTAGTGGCAATGAAAGCAGGTTGGTCCAGGAGCAAGCCTGTTGTAGCGGGGAGGGGTTGTCACAGCCAGGGCGGTGGCCTTTGCTCTGGGCAAGTGGGAGCCACGGGGGGAGGGGATGGGGGCTCAGGCAGAGAGAGGGTGAGTGGACTTCCGTCTTCCAAGAGGCCACAGTTGGACGGGACTGAACTTGGGGCTCAATGCCCAACCACCTCTCCTGGGACGACGGTAGGAGCACATTCCCCAGGGCACACGAGCAGGCCCGGGGCACAGGTGGTGGACCACTGCTCTTCTAGTGACTTAAGCAGCAGGCCTGGTGACCTGCTTCCCAACGGTCACAGCCTCAAGACCCTTGGGGGGCAGTTCTCCTCTGCACACGTGGGCGCCTTGGAGCTGGAACTGAGCCTCCTTTGGCTCCGAGCAGCCTGGAGCTAAAGACCCTACTGTGTGCCCTGTAAGCTCGTTTTTTTTCTGTGGCCCAGGCACGGGGGCAGCGATGCCCATACAGATGGAAATACTTCCTGGCTCAGAGAGGTGAAGCACCTTTCCTGAGACCTCCCCGTTCTTCCCGGGCAGCTCCAGGCAAGAGTGGACGGAGCAGAGTCCACCTGACTCCAAAGCCAGACTCTTTGTGCAGGAGACCTTGTGTCAGGCCTTCCCAGGCCTTCCCAGGCCTTGGTCCTGCCCTGCCTTCCCCTCAGGGAAGCCCACGGCCTCTCTGTAGGTCAGACTGGCTTTGCGGCTTCAGGGGAGGGGCCCTCTCCTTCCGGGACTCAGTTTCCCCACCTCTCAGATGGGGCAGTGGCTACTTCAGCCCAGCCCTGGAGTCGGCTCAGGCCTTGACAGGTCCTGCTACCACGAGGAGTCAGAGTGGGGTAGGCCTGGCCCATCTCAGTCCTCCTGGGACTGTGGGGGGTTATGCAGGGCCAGAGGGGGTGGGGATTCCATGTCCAGCAGTGGACTTTGTTCGTATTTGTCCCTCTGATAACAGCAATGACCTTGGTTAATCATCACCAGCAGCCCCCCACCCCCTCCTCGTCCCCGGTTGCCCACTGCTTAAATACAGACGGGGCCAGAACTCAGTCTCCTCCGCCATTCGGCCTGGGGACAGTTGGTTGTAAGTATCCTGATGGGGAGAGCCTCCGGGTGGGTGAGGGGCCAGCCAGAGGCCCCAGGAGGACAGAGCCTGCTGGGCCTTGGCCCCCTGTTACCCTAGGACATCCCTCTTTGCCCCTAAGCCAGCCCAGGGGTCCCCAGGCCCACCAGTGAATGCTCATGAGGAGGCAGGGGAGGGAGGGCAAAGGTTAGCTACAGTCTATACAAGAAGATGTCAGCCTGGCCTCTATAGGAAGACGTGGGGGTCGGTGCTGCATCCACTGTCCTGGGCTCCGGAGGCAGATGACCAGGCTGCAGCCATTAGAGCAGGCTTCTCTTTGCCTGGCTCTGGGGTCTGACACCGTCTCTCCTAGTGCTGGGGTTTACACCTTCCAACCTCTCTAGAGATGAGGTCTTCTTGCTCAGGGCGGGGACACTAGGGACTCAGTCCAGACCCTTCCCCCTGGTTATCTGGGCATCCATCCCTCCAGACATACCTGAGAACAGAAGTGTGGCCTCGGCTGCATATGGGTCCCCGCTACCTGCACAGGGACCCCTGAGCACCTCTCAGGCAGAGGGCTCCAGGTGAACATCCTGAGTGCACACTCTGGGCTGGCAGCTGCTAAGCTCATTTCACTAATGAGCACATTGGCGTCTGGCCACACACTCTGGGGAGGCTACTAGGATGACCCTGGAGGAGGACACTGGGGACAGAGAGGCTGAAAGCTTGCCCTACATCTCACAGCAGCCAGGATTCACACTTAGGCCGCCTGGGTCTCAGACACCAGGGTCTCAGCCAGGGACCCAGAGCCTGGCCTTTCCCTGGGCCCTCTCTCTGGTGCTCAGGGACGGTCGGCAGAAGTTCAACTCTCTTCTTGTGCAAAGTGTAGACAGCCTTTGCCCTGCACCTCTGCCTCCTCACCCCCCATGGTCCTGGTGCTCTGGCATGTTCTGGAGATGGGCCCCGGAAGGTGGCCCGGGCTGGGCTGGCTCGGATAGGTCACCAGCAGCATCAGGGCAGCTCCCTAGCTTTCTGGAGAGCTTCCTCGGGCCAGCGCTGCTCAGCACTCTGGATGCATTTCATCCACCCTCTGGGTCCTTTCCAAGGGATGACATGGGGTTCAGAGGTGTGGAGTGACTCGTCTGGGGTCACACAGCGAATAGCCAGTTAAATCAGGTAAGCTGACATCCATCCAGACCCCAGTCACGAAGGGCTGTGCCCCCTCCCCACCCAGCCCCACCCCACCAGACCACCATGTCCCTTGCCCTGTCCCAAGGCTGTTGGCTCCGGTTTTGCACGTCCAGATGATGGCCGCTGCAGTCGCTTCCAAACCCAGGTGACCCCATGCATGTCAAAGTAGAACTGTGCTCTCTAGCATTTTCCAGAGCTGGCGTTTCTGGGCTTAGACAGCCAGGCCTTTCTTCTGAGGCACCTTAGGGTGGAGACAAACCTTCAACCATGCAGCTCGCCGCTGGGCATGTTTACGGCTTACACTGCCTGGGGGCTCCGGAAAACCAACCAACCAAACTGCCATGAAGTCAGTGCCGACTCGCGGCGCCTTATAGGACAGGGTAGAGCTGCCTCTGTGAGTTTCCAAGACTGTCACTCCTTACGGGAGTAGAAAGCCCCATCTTTCTCCTACGGCGTGGCTGGTGGTTTCAAACTACTGACCTTTTAGTTAGCGGCCCAATGTGTGCCCACCATGCCACCAGGGCTCCTTTGTACACAAAGAGAGAAGGATTCAATGAGAGAGGCAGAGACAGAAAGGCAGAGAAGGGTGATGTATCACTACAGGCGATTCTGGAAGCAAATGCCTAGGTCAACAGCCAGTTCTGTAACCTCCCAGCTCAGTGGTTTGCAGGAAGCGCCATGACGGCTTTGTGCCTTGATTTCTCCATCAGTAAACTGAGGCCACTCACAGTCCTTCCCTCTCGGAGAGAAGAGTGAACAGAACAGAAATGCATTGACAGCAGTGGTGGCACCAATGCCATGAGGCAGACTTTAGTTGGCTTTAGTACAGGGGAGGTTGGCTTTAGTACAGGGTTCAAACCCTGCCAAGTCACACCCAACTCACAGCAACCCGGCAGGATGGGGTAGAACTGTTCCTTAGGGTTTCCAAGACTGAGAATCTTTGTGGGACCAGACAGCAGCATCCTTTCTTAGCTGGGCTGGTTGGTGGGTTTGAACCCCTAGCTTGGCTGTTAGCGGCGCTTAATCTACCGTAGCCCCCAGTCGAGGGTGAAATAACTAACAAGCAAACACTTGGAGAAATGAATGTGACAATTTCCAAATTCAGAGGGAGTTTGAACAGGGTCAGTGGACAGTAGCAGCCCTGTCCAGGTTGGCAGACCTGGCCTGAGGCTACTCAGTGTATTTAGCATCCCCACCCTGGCTGAGGCCCAAACCCCTTCTGATCTCGGAGACCTGGACAGATGGGGAATTTCCATCAGCCTGGGAGGGCTGGCCTGAAGTCCAGCCTAGGGAGGCAACAGGCCCTAGGAGAGTGGAAATGTACGGCTAATTTGAGCAGCTTCTCCTGCCCTGACGCCCTAGCTAGTTTCAGAAGCACGTGAGCAGGGGTTACGTGATGTCTGTTTAGCCCTCCTGGTTTCTTTAAAGGCTCAAGGGCCAGAGAGGAGGTGGTGGCCGCAAGTGACCCTGAGCTTGAATATGGACTCTGATTGGGTGGAGACCTGGGCGGCGGATTCGTTAATGCACGAGGCTGCTAGCCCCATGGTCAACTCCGTTGGGAGCAAAAATGAGGCTTTTTACTCAGGTCAAGAGTTACTGTCTCAGAAACCCACAGAGGCAGTTCCTACACTGCCCTCTAGGGGTGCTGTGAGGCGAATGTGCTGGCTGGCAGTGAGTTTGGGCCCCGGTGGAGCTGTCAGCCGAGGAGTTCAGAAAGTATGCTCGGGACCCAGGCTGCGTGACCTTGTGGTTCTGGACCTGCGTTTTTTACTTGTTCTGTGACCCTGGACAGGTAGCTCCTCTACCTGCCTGGGCCTTGACGTCCCAATCTGTAAGTTGGGGGTGGTAATATTACGTCCTCCCTGGGGCGGGCAGAAGGCTTCCATGAGTGGAAAGGAGGAGAGTGGTGAGAACAGTCCCCAGGTCCCCTCTTGCTGGTCTTTGGGTTCAATCGGGAGGGATGCTGTCATGCCAGGGGCCGCTCAGGTCGGAGCTCGGCACACAGCCAGCACCTAAGGAGCCATGTGCCCCCGTGCCCGGCATTGGCCAGTGGCAGTGGGAGGTCCCCGTGGCCAGACTCTGAAAGCTCGTATCCTCTTTCTCTCTGGCAGGACAATGCCATCTTCCATTTCTTGGGGCCTCCTCCTGCTGGCAGGTCTATGCTGCCTGGTCCCCGGCTCCCTGGGCGACACCACCCAGGACACAGAGGAGTCCAAGCATGAGCATGACCAGCACCCAGCATGCCACAAGATCGCCCCGAACCTGGTCGACTTCGCCTTCAGCATGTACCACCAGGTGGCTCAGAAGTCCAACACCACCAACATCTTCTTCTCCCCGGTCAGCATCGCCGTAGCCTTCGCGTTGCTCTCCACAGGAGCCAAGTCCGACACCCACAAGCAGATCCTGGAGGCCCTGAAGTTCAACCTCACAGACACGCGTGAGGCCCAGATCCAAGAGGGCTTCCAACACCTCCTGCACACCCTCAACCAGCCCAACAGCCAGCTGCAGCTGACCACCGGCAACGGGATCTTCGTCAACCAGAGCCTGAAGCTGGTGGAGAAGTTCCTGGAGGATTCTAAGAAGCTGTACCACTCCGAAGCCTTCTCCGTCAACTTCAAGGACAGCGCCGCCACCAAGAAGCTGATCAACGACTACGTGGAGAAGGGCACCCAGGGGAAAATCGTGGATCTGATCAAAGAGCTGGACGAAGACACGGTCTTGGCTCTGGTGAACTTCATCTTCTTCAGAGGTACGTGGCGCCGCCCACCCCAACTCGTCTCCCTGGGAACATCCCTAACCTGCCTCCATCCCTCCATTCTGCTCTCCCACTCCCTTCGGAGAGGCCACCTTGGGCCTGCCAGTGTACCTCAGTACGGGCCAGCAGGGCTTCTGTTGGGGAACAGCGTGGGAATGCTGGGCCGGCAGATTCCAGTTGTCTTCTGGGCAGGACTTTTCCGAGCGTTTACCGGTCAGCCTCTCCCAGGGAGAGAGAGGGGGCAGAAGGTGTCGTGTTTCCTAAAATATTGACTCAGACATTTTTTTAGAAGTGTTTCTAAAGGGAGGGGATTCCTGGCAGCACAGTGGGTCCTGCATTGGGTTGCTAGCTGCAAGGTCAGCAGTTCAAAACCGCCAGCCTCTCCAAGGGAGAAAGATGAGGCTCTCTACTCCCGTCAAGAGTTACAGTCTCAGAAACCCATCGAGACAGTTCTACCCTGTCCTACAGTTCTCACCATGAGTCAGAATTGGCTCTATAGCAGTGGGTTTTAAAGAGTTACAGCCTCGGAAACCCACCAGGCCAGGTCTTCCCTATCCTGTAGGGTCCCTATGAGCCAGCATCAGCCCCGTGGGAGCGAGTTCGATTCCTGAGTCAACCTGAAGGGAATTGCGTTTTATGGAATAGACCTTGGTGGCCTCTGTTGTGGTGGAAGGAGCGTTGGCGTTGCCGTCAGAGAGGCCTGGGTTTAAATCCTGACTCCACTGGTTATGAGCTGCAAGACCAGGCATGAGTCAGCCCCTTGGCCTCTCTGGGGTTCCAGTTTTCGTGAATAATCACGGAATAAGGAAACTCTTGCCACCACGCGGGCTATAAGGCCCAGACAAGTTAGGGAACCCCTGGGTGTTGCCAATGACGAACACATTGGGTTGCTAACCGGCAGGTGGGTGGTTCAAGTCTACGTAGAGGCATCTCGGACAAAGCTGGGGTCTACCTCCAAACCCTCAGCTGAACCCTGCAGAGAGGGTGTCCGGTGACAGTCTGACACGGCGGGGCTGCCATGGCTCGGAAGGGCCTCATCAGCAGCTGTCGTGGTGGCTGTGAGGTGCCACCGAGGCAGTCCCGGCCCACAGCGACCCTGCACCCAACAGAATGAAACCCTGCACGGCTACACCGGCCTCACCCTCCTTCCTCCGCCTGAGCCCATGGTTGCAGCCGGATGTCAACTAGCAACTAGCTCAGAGTTCTAAGAAGTTAGAAAGCACAGAGACTGTCCATTGTGGGCACACAGCTAAGGTCGCACCGGAGCCTGCTGCTCTGCTTCTATGTGTGCAATATGCAGGGAGGGAGCCCGCAGGCCTCAGAGAGCGCTCAGCATGATGGCAATGGTTGGGGTGCCCCACAGGAATCCACTTGGGGATCCCAAGTCCAAAACCCAGGGCTGCGTGCTTCACACGTCTGGCTCTCTGCCTCTGGAGGCAGAGTGGGCCATGTGGATCAGAGACCAGTGTGACCGCAGGCAGGCCTCATCCCCTCTCCAACCCCAGACAGTGTGTTGGGCTCTGTGGTCCTCAGAGTATACCCCCACTCTGGCCTGCCATGATGGTGATGCCCCTGCTACACCACCCCCTACTGGTGTCATGGAGAACAGCCCACCCCAGGGACTTGCATCTCCTGTGTTGGGTTCAGGAAAAGACCTTTTGCATGGCTACAAGGACTTCCCTTTGAGGGTTGGCTGAACCACTTGTTTATTATGAGTTAGGGGTCTTCAGACCTCTCCAATAATTGTGACTGCTCAGCACCACCCTGACCCACCCCAAGCCAATCTCCGGTGAACACAAAGCTCACCTCGAATAACTTAATCTGCAAGGTTAAGATTAAACTGAGTTGGTGCCTCGCTTAGATGGCTGCTTATTTGAAGACAAGCCTTTAAGACCCCAGACAGCATTCTTTCTGATAGCCCGGCACCATCCAGTTTCTTTACCACACTTTGCTCTAGCACCCTTATCTTCAGTGATCTCTCCATGAGGGCGAGTATTGAGTGAGGTCCTGTCATAAGAACTCATTCATAGATCTATGATTTATATATGACTCTGGTTCACTTTAGAGACATTGAGATAGTTAAGGTTTATTGTGCCGACCTGGCTGATAAACACGTGGGATTAACTGAAGGACAGAGAGATAAATGGCTCAATGAGCCTCGCCTTTTGGTTCTCGGGTCTCTTGCTCTCTGATGGTCAGACCAGGGTACAGCTGCCTTAGCCTGTTCCCTGCTTCAGCTGGCAAGGCTCACTTCCTGCAAGACATCCCTGAGAAGAAGCCACATGGACCTACCCCGATGAGCCCTGGGTGCTGGAGCAGCCGTGTGGAGACCCCTGCCAGCGCTGAGATATTTACATGCTCACTGATTCAGCTTTCCTCCTGCAGCCGGCATCATTGCTTCTGTTTTGTGAGATGGAGGAGGACTTTGTGGATCGGTGTCGGACATATAGGCTAATGTTGGACTTATGGGCTTGGGCAGCACTGGGTTGGGATGCTTTCTGAATGTGCACTTACCCTTTATATAAAACTCTCTCTTATACGTATGAGTTTCTGTGGATTGGTTTCCCTAGTTTACCCAGACGAACACAGACATCATCCTCATTACAGAACATTATATATCACCACCCTGGGGCATAAGGTGATTCAACTGGTAGTGGGCAGTGTCTCACCAGGAGCCTCCGAGTTTACCTTGAGCCCCAGGCCCACCACCCTGACCTGACCCTGGTGCTGGCCCTGACTAATGTCGCTCCCTCTGTCTCCAGGCAAGTGGAAGAAGCCCTTTGAGGAGGAGCACACCGAGGATGGGGGCTTCCACGTGGATGAGACGACCACAGTCACAGTGCCCATGATGAGCCGCCTGGGCATGTTCAACGTCCACTACCACACGGAGCTGTCCAGCTGGGTGCTGCTCATGGAGTACTTGGGCAATGCCACCGCCATCTTCATCCTGCCCGAACAGGGTAAACTGAGGCAGGTGGAGGACCAGCTCACCCAGAAGACCCTCTCCACGTGGCTGGAGGATAGATACCCAAGGTGAGCCCCCACGCAGGAACCGGGCCCCATCAGGACCAGCCAGAGGGCTGGGCAGCGTAGACACCACACCCCTGGGGGCCACAGAGGCCATGGTGTCCTTCTGCCTGCAGCTGGAGCCCCGGGATCAGCTCCTCAGCACCAGATAAATGCTCTGAGGCTGACCCTTCCCAATGGCCAGTCCTTCTGGGGCAAGGAGAGGAGAGCCTACAGGTTGTTATGGGAGACCCATGACCACCGGGTAGGCCAGGAGGGCGATGGAGTTGAAGTTCAGGGTAGACTGACAACAAGCCGGTTGACTACAGGAGCCTGCTTGGAGAAGACCTGAGATGGCAGAGAGTCTGGAGCTGAGACTGTCCGTGGAGGGCAGTAGGGCCCCCTGGCACTACATCTCGGGGCGTTACTGGGCATCCTGGGGGTACAAAGATACTTGCGCACACACCTCCTTCAAGGGTGCAGGTGGACCTCCTTCAGGGGTACAGCGCAGGTGTGGCGAGTGTAACACCTTGAGAGTTTACAGCCACCCTGCATCCAGCAGGTCCGTTGGTGCTCCGTGTCTCCATGTCACCTGTTGGTCATGCCCATTGTATTCCCCACAAGCATGCAGATACAATAACATACATGTATACACATGCGTGTGGGACACACTCACACGCATCCAGGCACAAATACATACAGCCACTCCCATGCACACAACCATGCACACAGGTATGCCTAGAGGCACAGGCATACACACACATACACATGGAGACATGACCACACTGTACTGACACACACTGAGTAAACAACAGTGTGGGGCCAACCTAATTTCCATATGTACTGGAACATCTAAATCCCTGGAACGTGCTTTCTTGGCTGCAAGTGGAGCCCACATGCCCTCCAGGTCTGCCCATGTATTCACTCATCCGTATATGCATCCGTGTTCTGTGGCACTAGTTCCTTCTTCCCATTCCAGAGCCGAGGTACTAACAGCTAAACGACGGAGGGACACGTTCATAGAGGTTTTAATGCCTTCAAGTGGGTGACCCCTGTATGAGTCCGGGTTGACTACAGAAACAAATACATAGACACTGCTATGTGGCTAAGAAAGAGCTTTATATCAAAGAGAAATTATATATTGAGAAACTATCTCAGCCCAGTCCAGATCAAGTCCATAAGTCTGTTATTAGCCCATATGTCAGATACTAGTCTGCAAGTCCCTCTTTAGAGTCACACAGCACATGCAATGATGCCAAATGCAGGAAGATCACAGGCCAGGGGGTAGAAGGTCTTGTGGATCCAGTGGCAGTGGAAGCATCTCGACGCAGGCACAGGTCTCCACGTGTCTCCTCCGGCTCTCTGAGGGTCTCCACAGCAGGAAAGGGAAGGCAGAGAGACTGGGTCTGGCCTCCGGTGAGCTGCTTATCTCCATTTTGCCTCCAAATGAGGCCATCAAGCTGCGATCTGATTGACAGGCTAGATTCCACCCCTTTGCTTAAGTTGACAGGAGATGATGTAACTGCCACAACTACCCACCCACCTCCGGCCCTACCCCACTCTTGTCCCTGAACCCCAAGAGATGGCCAAGTGCAAAGCACCTGGAGTGTATTGGAGAATCTTGAAGAGCCATCTTCTTACTCCTGTCGGTCCCCCTCTCGGTCCCCGTCTCTCCTCTTGAAAGAAGATCACTGAGCGACCCAGAGATGGGACCTCACCCCAAACATCACCAGGTCCCGAGGGCCACACGGAGGCTCAGGGGCCCTCAGAATAAGACCTGCTTTGCCGAGGACACACTGGTTGGGGCTGGAGGGGCTCCTTGTGTGGGGGTGGGGGAGCATCAAGAGATGGCTTTTACCCTCTGCTGAGTGCGGACCTGCGCTGAGATGACAGCCTCTTTCATGGTTTTTCCTGTTTGACAGATCGGCCAGTGTGTCTCTCCCCAAGCTGTCCATTTCCGGAACCTACGACCTGGTGGAGATCATGGGCAAACTGGGCATGACTCACGTCTTCAGCAATGCAGCCAACCTTTCGGGTATCACTGAGATGGCACCCCTGAAGGTGTCCAAGGTGAGAGCACCCCCAGGGAGCACCGGGGCCTTGCGTCGGGGGCTACCGTGTTCACAAACTCGGGGCTACAGGGGGTCAGGGGCTACAGATCCCCTGAGAAGTCCACGGCATCGTGGCCTGGCATGTGGCCAGTTGGCTGATGGGAGGGGAAGCCATCATGTGCCTCTGGCAGGCCAGTGACCTGGGCTGCACCCTCCCTCATGAGACACCTTCTGTCCCACCTTTCTGCCACTGTGACTCAACTTGCTGGGTGTTCCGGTGTCAAGTCACGGAGACAGAGGTCCATCGCGGAGGGTGGGGGTGTCAGCTGGGCAGGAAGGTCACTGAGGCAGTGAGAGGCCATTGAAGAACCAACGACGCCCCGTTGCTCCTGTGGCCTAGACGCCTGGCGTGACCTTTGAAGGTCACTGTCAAAGTCCTGGCCTCAAAGAGCCTAGTGGCAGAAAAAGACAGGCCTGCAAGGCAGACCGAAAGGGAGGTGACTGTCCCCATCCTGTCCCATAAGGTCAAGAGAGGCCAGGTAGGGAGAGCAGACAGAGGTCCAGTATGGGGAGGTCAAGGTAGGCGAGGGACAGACGCCGATCAGGAGGAGAGCTCAGCCAGGTGAGGGGACCTAAGAAGGACCCAGCCTGGGGAGGGGAGAGGGCGGGTGGAGCTGGACGGGGGTGGGGTGGGGGTGGGGGTTTTGGGTACACAGCCTGTGACCAAATGATGGGGCCCACAGGTGCCAGACCGAAGATTTCAATGATATCCTGCCCCCCCCCCCACACACACACTCAAACTCACACACGCACACTCAAACTCACACACACACACTCACATACATACAAGCCCACATACGTCCTAACAAATATGCATGCATACACACACCCATTATTCTACACATATAAAGATACACAGATACACACAAAAATTACACAGATGTACCTATGATTGCACACATATAAATCCATACACATACACATGTGAATGCACACACGTGATCACACGCCTATAAACACATATATACACATGCATGCACGCATACGAATACACACAGGCACACACAGCAATGCCCCACAGGTACAGATACTAATGCCTGGATGGGCATACACCAAGGGAAATTCATGAACATGCAGATATGATAATATACATGTACACGTGTGCATGTAGGATACACACACATGCAGGCACAAAATGTATATAGGCGCGCACACACACACAACCATGCACACAGGTAAGCACAGAGTCATAGGCACACACCTGCATACAGACATGACCACATAAATGTACACGTGTGCATGCAGAATATACTCACACACACATGTGGATGTGTGTTCATGCATGCACACATGTCTTGAGTGCCTGCATGATGTTGGCCTATTATGTGAATAACCACAGCATCTGTTGAACAGCTGGGCTGCCCCCACTTAGGAAACGGAGGCTTTGAGAAGCTAGGTCCTCTCCCTGCTGGGACACACTCAGCCGGAGAAGTGGACCAGAAGCCAGGTCCCTGTGCTGGCAGGTTCCTTCCCCTCCACCACCCTGTGGCAATTGCCTGCGACCCTCTCAGGGGCTGGCCCTTGCCTAGCAAGAAGACCAAGCTCCTGAGAGGTGGTCATGGTGAGCAGTGCCTCTGCAGCTGGTCCCATACCAGGGCTGGGCAGGATGGTGCTGCCCACTCTGCCCCCACCCCTGCAAGCAGCTTCTCTGCTTTGGTCCCTCAGGCGGTGCACAAGGCCATGCTGACCATCGACGAGAGAGGGACGGAAGCTGCCGGGGCCACGGTCTTGGAAGCTATTCCCATGTCTATGCCCCCCACGGTCTCATTCAACCGTCCCTTCCTCCTGATCATCCACAGCAAGGAAACCAAGAGCCCTCTTTTCATAGGCAGGGTGGGGAACCCCTTACAAAAGTAACTACCACCCTCGCCCAGCCCCCACACCCAGGGCAGGTCTCCTGGTGAAGCAATAAAAGGGCTGCCTAACCAAACTTGAGTATGGGTGCTTCAGTCCCCCCCCACCCGTCCCCAAGGGTCCCTGTCCTTCCGAAGGACCAGTGTGGATTCCGGGTCACAGGAATCCCACTGACGTATTGTTAAGTGCTTGCTGTGTGCCAGGCTCGGGGCTGGGCACAGGGAAGTGAAGAGGAGGCACCGGCTGAAGCCCACACACTACACGGGCGGTTGCCCGAGCCTGCTGCTGCAGACGTGCAGACTCCCCGACCCGTCTGGGACTCGCTACACCCACCATCTGCCATATCCTCTGTGCTCCCCATCGCTCACTGCTCCGTCATGGGAGAGCCCCCAGCCCTGCCCACCTGATGCCGGGGCTCCCACCCGGGTGCCTGCAGCTGCTGCGTCCCTGGAAGCTGTTGGCAGAAGCCATGCCTCTGATCTCATTGAGCCACGTGTGGGTCCCTGCGTCTCACAGAGTCTGTCCCGCAGACACACCTCCAGGTTCCTCCCTCGGGTCTTTCCCCGTGGGACTGGCCAGGGCACACGGGCTGGGTTCTTCTTCTGCCATCCCCGCTCCACCCCAGACCAGAGAGTCTGATTTGTGGAGTCAGTGACAGCAGGGGGTGGGGGGACAGAGCAGAGCATGGCCCATAGGACTCCCAAGGGATCAAGCAACAGACATTTCCAAGACACCACTGGGGGGGATTTGAACCACCAACCTGACCATTAGGACAGTCAGGCACTCCAGCCCCAGGCCATCACCTCTTACAACAGTGCTTCTCAACCTGTGGGTCGCGACCCCTTTAGGGGTCGAATAATCCTTTTGCAAGGGTCACCTGATTCATAACAGGAGCAAAATTACAGTGATGAAGTAGCAACGAAAACAATTTTATGGTTTGGGGGTGGTCACCACAACATGAGGAACTGTATTAAAGGGTCGTGGCCTTAGGGAGGTTGAGAACCACTGTCTTAGAAACACCCGGGAATGAGAAATGGCCCTGGGTCTTAGTCTTTACTCCACCTTGTCATGCTGCCCCCAGACCTCCTCACCTGACGCCGGGGCTCCCACCTGCACACTCGCCCTGTGTCCTCTGCCCCTCCCTAGCCTGGTGCCGAGATGGCCCCCCGGCTCAGGACAGTCCCTGCCTCTTTGTCACTGGGGGTGAAGGAGGACTCCTGCCTGCTCCCCCTTTCTGCTCCCACCCTCCCTTTGGCTGTCAGTGCCCTGTCTCTGGGCACCACCACCTCCACGGTCTTCAGGAATAACCCCAGCTCAGTGCCAGCACTGGAGGTTGTCCAGAGGATGGGCCCTGCCCAGTGAGGACTGCCCAGTGATTCCCAGCCTCAAGGCCCTGCTGGAGGGCTACCGAGCAGGGACCCTGGAGACCCACCTTCCGGGAGGTGTTCACTCCTTGCTTGGCTCCCAGAAATGTGTCCGACCTGTGGAATTCACTGTCTGTGTGAGTCTGGGTAGACCAGCGAAACAAATTTATAAACACTCATAGAAAGAGCTGTCTATACAAGAGCAATGGAATATTGAGAAAACATCCCAGCCCAGTCCAGATCAAGGCCATAACTCTGATGTTAACCCCTACATCCAATCCCAGTCTATAAAGTCCTCTTCAGACTCACAAAACACAGGCAATGACGCCAAATGCAGGACGATCACAGGTCAGTGGGTTCAAAGTCTTGTGGATCCAGTGGTGGTAGAAGCATCTCAGTGCTGGCAGGGGTCTCCATGTGGCTCCTCCAGCTCCCAGGGTACGGGGTCTATCAGTATAGTAACATCTGTCTTGTCAGTAGAGCGTCTCTCAGGGAGTGAGCAGAGACAGAGAGTCTCCTGCCTCCAAGGAGGAAAAATAGGAATTACCCAGAATTCTCAGGGGAAGGCCATGCCCACACAAAGATCTCATTGGCTATGACCCGATTGACAGACTAGACTCCTCCCTTCACTCTTAATCCTCTCAAATCCCAAATTGACACCAGATTATGTACCACACTGTCCATCATCCCATGCTAATCCAGTCACCTCAAGGATTAGGTTGAGTCTTGGAAAGGTGCCCAGTGAGGCCCCCAGTGATCAAACAGCAGTCCCTGGGGACTCTGTCAGAGAGAGAACGGTTTCAGCAGTCCCCCACAGACCCCACGCCTTCCCAAGTGCCCTCAGGCCAGGCACCTCTGGCCCACCCCAACACATTCACGGGGCAGGCAAACTTGACCACTGAGGATGATGGTCAGGGGATCTGAATTCAAGGTCAGGTTCTGCCTCCTACCGCTGTGTGACCTTGGAGAAGTCACCAGCCCTCTCTGAGCCTGTGTGCTAGGGAGCACACGTTTTCTTACGAAGATGTCAAAGCAGGGGACCAGGCTTCTCAAAAGTATCCCTTGAGTGGGGGGGCTTGGCTAATTGTTCAGCTGATCGCTGAGATGTCAGCATTTCTAACCCACGGAAGAAAGGCCTGGTGGGCACTCCAGTCAAGATTTCAGCTGAGACCACTGTCGGGGGCAGTTCTACTGTCCCCCAGTGTCCCTGTGATCCCTGTAGACCTGACAGCATGCAGCCACAGGTTTGTATGGGTGGCACCCAGGACAGTGCTCACGGTTGACATGCTCAGATGGTGGAGGTTGGAGTCCACTCCAGACGCCACAGAAGAAATACCTGGTGATGGACTTTTGCAAAATCAGGCCACGGAGCGCCGTTCTGTTGTGACCCACACAGGGCGGTGTGAGCCAGACGCTGCTGCACAGTGACTGCTTGGGCTTCCCAAGTTCCCGAGCTCCTTTTAGAGCATGGCAGTCTGAGAAGAACTTTCCAAAGATGGCCTTGTTGAATCCTCAAACTCTCTGCCTCTGAGTGGGCGGTCCGAGACTAACTCTTCACCGGAGTAGACAGCCTCATCTTTCTCCCAAGGAGCAGCTGGTGGTTTTGAACTGCTGGCCTTGAGGTCAGCCATCTGTCGTGGCTCCCTCTGAACTTCCCTAGCAGCCCTGCAATGCCTGTCACGTATCATGGCTGTGCCCATAAGTGTCCATTGTGCAGACAAGGAAACTGAGGGCAGAGAGCCTAATGGATTTGCTCCCGGATGCCACGTTCTGCCTATGCTCCATGCCCCCCCAGAGGGCTCCGCAGCGCTGCATTCCCCCTTGAAACATGAGGCATATTAGTGGCCAACAGTTCATATCCAGGATGCTTCCCGGCCCACCAGCCCAGGGACACTCACTGCACCTCCTCTTATGCAGGTCCCTTCTCCCCAGAAGAGAATGTTCCCTGGGTGCTAGGCTTTATTCCCCCATCAGGCTCACCCAGGGTCACCAGCGCTCTCTGAGGTCCCCAGGGCAAGTGGTCCAGTGTTTAAAGATGCACAGCTACAGACAAGGCGCAGACCCCTGCCCTCGGCATTCTGGGTGTGGGGGCTTGGGCAGAGGGAAAGGCAGGCCCTCATGCCGAGGCTCCAGGGAGGGCGAAGAGGGCAGGGACCAGTGCACGGTCATTCCTCTTCTCCATCCTAGCTAGAAGCCCCCTGGAACACAAGGCATGGTGCGCGTGGGATCAGCTTGGGGCAGTCAGGGTGGGCAGAGCACCAGGGCACTGGTGTGCCAAGGAGGACAAATGAGTGTGAGTCTCCAGCCTCCCATTGTCGTTTCAAACTCTCAGCCATTGAGGCCATGCCGACTCACGGCAACCCTACAGGACAGGGTAGAACTGCCCCTGTGGGTTTCTGAGACTGCAGCTCTTTTTTTCTTTTAATCGTTTTATTGAGGGCTCATACAGCTCTTATCACAATCCAACTATTGTGTCAAGCACATCTGTACATTTGCTGCCATCATCATTCTCAAAACATTTGCTTTCTACTTGAGACCTTGGTATCAGCTCCTCATTTTTTTCCCTCCCTCCCTCCCTCACGAACCCTTGATAATTTATAAATTATTATTTTTTCATGTCGTACACTGATCAATGTCTCCCTTCACCTACTTTCTCTTGTCCGTCCCCCAGGAAGGGGGTTATATGTAGATCATTGTGAGTTACGGTCTCAGCAATACCAGGAGGGTAAGAGGAATGAGGGGGGAAAACAGCATGCTCTCTTGCCCCACATACCTGACTCACCTGAGCTCACGCTATGCCACTTCCTTTTGTTTCCAAAAATGAAGAGGGACATGAAAGGATAACGATTGGACAAAGTAGAAAAGGTGAAGAAAAAAACGAGGGAGGTGCTGTCAGCTATCCAAGCCAATGAGTTTGAAAAATGTTCCCAAGAATGGAATCGCAGATTTGACAAATGCATTAAGGGCAATGGAAAGCACTTTGAAGGTAATAAGGTTGTTTTGTTTAAAAAAAAAATACATAGCTTTCTTTGGCATACCCCTGATATATGTCCCATGGGTCATGAAAGGGCTTAAAAGACCCAACACAGGAATCCAGGCAATCTGGCATGGCACAAGAGTGGTTGGCGTTGAGGCTCAGTTCCTGGCTCTAACCACTCCTGAGCTTCATCTTGGCTACGCCCCTTGAACTCAATGTTCTTAATTCAAGAAGACATGGGCAACCGTATCTTCCCACTTATTGCATGTGATGCCCAAAGTGTAGTAGGTGGTCAAGAAGTTGGGGATAAAAGCATGGAGCGAGAACTAAGATCATCCTCATGGGGACTAGATGAATAAGCAACAGCCCCAAACAAACCCACTGTCATCCAGTCCATTCTGAGCCTAGCGGCCCCACCCAGGGTTTCGGCACCCGTGCATCTTTATGGGAACAGACAGCCTTGTCTTTCTCCCACGCGGCTGCTGATGGATTTGAAAGGCAGACTTGTGGTTATGCGGAGACAGCACCATCGGGGCTCGCCCTAAGCAATACAGGCTGCTGAAGGGTGGTGTCGACTCTTCCTGAGACCCCTGCTCAGTGTCGGTCGGCCGAGGGTTAAACTGATAGCAGGGGCTTGACAAGTGGGTAGATGTATAATGGACAGGTGGGGGGGGGGGTTAGATGGCTGACTGATGGCTGTGTAGAGGAGGGAATAGACCGGTGGGTGAGTGAGTG